TTCATATTCCTCATTTAGCTTCCGGATAGACGAGTCCAAGTAGCGCCATCTCACTGTGGAGCTGAGTCCCACCTGGTTTTTAGACGTACAGTGTGAGCAGGTAGATCGCATCAGAGCGTCGGGTCGCACAGTGAAAGAACAAACATGGTGAGCTGGGAACTCACACTGTACGACAGCTGAGTGCAACGATTGTACAAAAAATTGGACAGTGTATTCCCCGCTTCACTAAATCAGCTATTTTAACCATTTTAAATGAAACTCAGAACAAAAAGTGACAGGGTGACTAGCATACAATACAGAGTAAAACACGTGATATATATTTATTACACACAAAGTGAAATATTTTTAGTTTTTATTTCTGGTAATCTGGTAAAAACGTGGAGCTGGTTGACAGTTGCCTTTTGTATCTATGCTTCTTTTTCTATGTCTGCTTCTGTCTCCTTGACCCCCAGTCAGCCTCAGCAGATGGCCGCTCACACTGGTTCTGCTGTTAAAAGGGAGTTTTTCCTCTCCACTGTCGCTACAAGCATGCTTAGTGTGAGGGATTGCTAAAGAGTCAATGAGTCGATGCAATCAGCTCGTTTTCCTTAGATAGAAACCTTTGAATCAATCTGACTGGAACGAAGTGCCTTGAGATTAAATGTGAATTTGCGCTATAGAAATAAACTGAATTTTAATTTCATTTAATTAATCTAGACTCTATCTCATAACAGAAACCAAACTTCAGCTTTTAGAAAATAATAATGTTACATAAGACCATGGTATTTTATTGGAGCAATGTTAGTTCAGTGAACATATGTCCATGTACTGTGTAGTGTAGGGTCTCCTGGTCCCTATTACTGCATTAAAGCTGCATCAGCCTGTGGATCTGCTAAGGTGTTCAGGAGCTCAGGTTGCTTTAATGCTGACCTTCAGCTGGTGTCCACTGTTGACTTTCCTCTTCCTCCTGTTAGAAAATCCTTCCTAATCAGTATGAAGATGTCAGCAGAAAGAAGCAAAAAGTGCTTTATAGTTTTGTGTTGAACAGCTGGACTTACTCCAGACTTAACCCAGTGAAGACCAGTTCATTCCTTTTCCTCTTTATCCCAGATAAGACATTTCCTGCACTCTTACTCTTAAGATTGGTCTATCCAACGAGGGCCTTTTGATTTCTCAATGGTTTCTCAATTTGGTTTCTCAATTCACAAGAATGTGAGTATAGACTGGTGTTCTCCCAAAGTATGTTCTTGAGAAGAACACAGGAAAGTGTGGACTTAAAGAGATTGGGAGCAGGCAGCATAAATATGGCTCAATTGGAACAGAAGTGTACTGAAAAATTTACTGATTCTTACTTTTTTCATTTAGTGAGGGAATAATAATAAACACAGTCAGATAAACACAAATCAAATGAACACGGGCTAGCGTTAGCCCGTCTGCAGCAATCAGGGCTAACGTTAGCCCGTCTGCAGCGGCCAGGGCTAACGTTAGCCCGTCTGCAGCGGCCAGGGCTAA